TCTACGATCCGAAGCGAAAGCTACCGTAGATATGCTCAGTGACTCTGTGTTCGATCACTTCGACGCGGCATTCATTCTGAAGACGGAGTTGTTGAAGTACCGTTACGATGCCACACTTGAGATACCTCTTGCGTCGCTTGGACTCGAAAACGCCGGTGAGGAATATGACCAACGCGTCAGCGAGACTTGCAAGAAAGTACATAATAGTCTGACTCGCGCGCTTACCGACCGCATCTCGGCTTTGTCATTTACCATGCCCGAAGAAGAGTCGTGGTCGATATCCTCGCGACGTCCCCAGGAGAAACAAAGCAGAAGCATACTTGTCAACTTCGCTACTGATCCCGCCAACGCCACTCGCACTGTCGACCACGGTCCTTCTGCTGAGAACAAACAGGAAGCTGCAGCATTCCGAAAATTCTGGGGCGAGAAGGCGGAGCTCAGACGCTTTAAAGATGGCAGCATTCTTGAGAGTGTTGTCTGGGCTGTCAAAGATGCATCTGTTTCCGTGATTGAACAGATCGTACTCTACATCCTTGGCAAACACGTAGGTGAGAAAGTGGCGGAAGCAGCCAAGTTCTCGAGCGACTCGTTTGGACACCTCATCCCTGCTGGCCGCATGCAGGGACAATCTGGGACCGCACCATTCTTGCCCATCATGAACGCTTTCAGTGCTATGGAGAAGGACATTCGAGATTTGGAAGAACTCCCACTTCGCCTTCGCCATTTGAGGGCCGCCGACCCACAACTTCGATATGCGTCTATTGACGTTCCAGCTGCAGGCCATGCTCCCGCTTCTGTTGTATTGCAATTCGAAGGTTCAGGTCGCTGGCCGGACGATCTATGCGCCATACAACGGACCAAGATCGCTTTCCTGCTCAGGCTAGCCGAGCTTCTATCCAAGCTTGAATCTGGATATGTTGCTCGCGTGGGCATGGAAAATCCGTCACAACCAGCTCAGAACCAAGCGTTCCTCGATGTTACCGCCGCTGCAGGCTTCACATTCCGTATCCGCATCTACCACGACCGTGAACCTACGCTATTCGACCGCCAGATCAAGGACAAGTCATTGGATGGACCATCGAGAGAATCCGCTGCTGCATCTCTGGCATTGTACAAGCGCGAGTTTGTTCAGTCCCCTATGCATTCGCAGGTACTACAGACGTTATGTACCCGTTTCCTGGCCCTCTCGCCAGCCATACGGTTGACGAAGAAGTGGTTTGCATCGCACCTTCTGACTCCGCACTTCTCGCCTGAGCTTATTGAGCTTCTCGTCATCCGCACATTCCTGCAGCCGCACCCATGGCCTGTACCCACAACCGCAACTACCGGCTTCCTACGAACTTTGTCTTGGATAAGCCGATGGGACTGGAGACATGTCCCATTGATAGTCGACTTCTCGACAACGTTCTCCGCAAACCCCGCAGATTTGGAGGACACCACATCCAAGGGCATGAAGTCTGAAGATCTCGACCGGTTACGGACGCGCTTCGAAGCATGGCGTCGCATAGATCCAGCCATGAACCGCGTTGTGCTCTTTGCTGCAACAAACCTCGACGAAGAGGGCACAACCTGGACAGATAAAGCGAAGCCTGAAAAGGTTGTTGCTGCACGTTTAACGGCGTTGGCAAAGGCGGCTACGCAGGCTGTTCGAGCGGACGAAGACCGTCTACTGAAGCTTATTAACAACAGCAAAGATGCTGCTAAGGCACAGAACACTTTCTCGCCCGAAGCACTCTTCACGCCCGGCATCTCCGACTTCGACATCACCATAACCATATCCACGAAACACACGCTCAAGCAAAACAAATCTAGCAAATCCACCCCCAAATTTAAGAACCTCGACCTCCAGAAGTCTACGGCCAGCTCATCACCGGCCGCACCACCGCTCCCGCAGCTCTTCGCACAAGACCTACTAGAAACCTACGGCGATGCCGTGCTCTGGTTCTGGGACCCAGAAACATTAGACAAAATCGTCGGGCTGTGGAACCCAGTTGTCACTGCGCAGAGGAGCTGGAAGGTCAAGCCTGGGTGGAACAGTGTTCCCGTGGCTGGCAAGAAGGATGACGTTGAGATTAAAGCGAATAGAGAGGGTATTGTGCATGAGATCAAGCGGTTGGGTGGGGAGCTTGTCAAGAGTGTTGAGGTTAAGGGATAGATCTTGGTTGGCGTTTAGACGATATTGACGGGGAATGTAGAGCAATATTTCGAGACAGTAGTTCAGATACTTCAATACCCAAATCAAAGTACTTTCTCCGATCAAAGCATCGCAGCAAGTAGTATGCGCTCGCCCACACGAACATCTACAGCATCTCCTTGGCATGAGCCTCGAGAACCTGATCCAGACGATACCGAAGACACCTCACTCTCGCGATGGGGCTTAGGCGAAACAGCGAATTTCTGCGCTCGAAATAGCAAATGAGCTATCTTGTTCCGTGTCGTTAGTCTACTATCAATCTCACCACCTCTGCATAGTACCAGGAATAATCAAGTTTCTTCCAACTCGGACACGGCAGCAATCTCACCAGTACCAACAACACACGTGACGAAGGTCATAGCGTAGTGTTTTAGTATACAGATTCTGTAGAGTTCGGCCGATGTCACGTGCGCGCTTCGCTCAATCTGGCGTGAAGGATTACGCCCGCCATAAGTACCCGCTTCCTTCGTTCCTGGTGGCTTAGTGTGCAGGTACGTGGTAAATGCTGTGTCAAGTTGCGTTAGGGGGATGGAACGTGATTGGGAGGGTAAAAGGATGCTGTTTATGGGGAAGGAAGGTGTATATAAGGTGGTCAACTTCGCGAAGAACGGAACAGAAAGAAGCAGCATATTTCCTACGATGTTTTCAGCTGCAACTATGAGACACATCACTCTTGAAACAACTTTCGGTTCTTTTGTGGGCGTAGAAGAAAATGGAGTGAGGAAGTTCCTCGGCATCAAGTATGCTGAGGTCAAGAATTGGCTTGCAACGCCCGAACTTATCACTTCGTATGGTAACCAAATCGTCGACGCCACACGATACGGGTAACTTGACCCCTTTGTTTTCCATCCTTCAGGACTGCATGCTAACAACACCAGACCACGCGCCCCAGCACCAGACCTTTGCACATTCGAGCAGTCTATCTTGATCCAATGCATCATCGGTGCCGCACCTGAGACTACCATGTCCCATTCGGAGTGTCTCAATCTGAATATCACCGTCCCGTCTCTTCCCACGGAAACCAACAGCGCCCTGCCAGTCATGGTATTCATTCACGGCGGTGGCCTCATCATGGGCGCAAACTCTTGGCCACAATGGGAGCCCGCACGTCTTGTTAAGATGAGCGCCGATATTCGCATGCCAATAGTTGTCGTCAGTGTGAATTACCGATTAGGTGCACCCGGGAATCTGACGAGCGAAGAGTTGAGAAGCGCTGGGTATCTAGGAAACAACAGTCTGAGGGATCAGAGATGTGCGTTGAAGTGGGTGAAGAAATTCATCGGTGGCTTTGGAGGTGATGAAGAAAATGTTACTGTGTTTGGGGTTAGTGCCGGTGCTGGTAAGTTATTACAAGTCGTTATCTTTAACGTGGATTGCGAGTGTGCTAATGTGAGACAGCCTCCGTATTGCATCATCTGAGTTGCAAAGAACCATTGTTCAGACGTGGGATCAGCATGTCTGGGACACCACTCATGCTCAAACCACTCTCACCCGCTGTGGCCGAAAAGTCTTACAAGGCTGTTCTGCAAGCCCTGGGACTCGAAGACGCTTCCACGCATGATCGTATTCAGAAGTTACTTGCCATGAGTCCCGAAGACCTGGTCCAGAAGATACCAATCAAGATTCCACTCGCTCCATACCTGGATGGTGACATGATCCCCGAAGCGCCCTCATTCGCTAACTTATCAAGTGGTACATTCCAGAGCTTGAACAACACTCGGTGCGAGGAGTTGTTGATCGGCTCGTGCGCAGACGATGGAAACGTCTTCTATTTCATGGGTCTGAGTTCGCGCCTTCCTGGCATCGCATCCGCAATCCATACATCCTTCTCCCGCAACCTCTCATCCCCGGTCGCTCAAGCCGTGTTATCTGAATACAAGATCACACCTTCGACTCCAGATGCGGAGGCCATGGTTTCCATCATTGAACTGGGAACGGATATCGCATATAGGCTTCCGGCACAGTACTATGCTCGCGCTTTCAAGAGGAGGGTTTTCTCGTATCTCTTTACTGAGCCGAATCCCTGGGACGGCATGTTCAAGGGGAAGAGCGTGCATCTGATGGACGCAGTGTTCTTATTTCAGAACTTCGATGAACATATACCTGATCAGGCAAAGATGACGGCCAAGAGAGTCGCGGAGGATTTTGTGACTTTTGCGTACGGGAGGCCTGGTGGTACTTGGGCGGAGGGTCAGACTAAGATATATGGGCCCGACTCTAGCGATGTTGACAGGTTGGAGACATTGAGACAAGAAGGAGCTGTCGATCTAGATGAGGTCAGTGTGGCGTGGGATTTGTTCGTCGCTGGGAAGTAGCGAATGAGAGCTTCTAAGGTCTGGTCGGCCACACTCGTGTCGAGCACCCGAGTTCTCTACTTGTTCTGTCACGACAGTAGCAAAGGTTGCGTGGTAGATGCTCATCTCATATCTTCTCATGCATCTCGGCATCAGTTTACCGAAAACGAACATGCACGTCGCTCGCGAGTGTCCACCGAGCGCTTTCACCCCCGCACGCCCCATACAGTTTAGTGCGGGGTAAACTCGGCTCTGGCCTCAACTCCCGACGTGCAGCATGTGGGGTCTTCGAGCACATCCCCACGCCCCATAACCACAGCGACGACGATGTTTGCCGCGCAGCCTAGCCGGGACGATGTTTCCGATCGGCACAGATGCGAGAGCGATGGTGTAGTAAGGCATACCACGCTTGTGTGACGGCGTATCGTAGCTTCCTTCCTACAAACCTACGGATTGCTTCTTGTAAACACCTTAGATCTCAATTCTGGTGAAGCACGACACACAAAATCGACATGTCGAAACCCGTAGCCATTGTGACAGGCGCCGGCTCCGGCATCGGCGAAGCAGTCGCAACCCACCTCTACAGCAAAGGCTTCAAAGTTGTCGTCGCAGATCTCAATCCCTCGTCCGGCGAGCGCGTAGCCAGTGCCCTTGGACCTGACGCCATATTCCATCAAGTCGACGTCTCATCCTACAAATCGCAAGCACAGCTGTTCAAACGCGCGTATGAATGGGGCGGCAACCGTCTGGACTTCTGCCATGCCAATGCAGGTATCGATGACCGACAGAACATCTTTGAGGATATGGAGAAGGAGGAGCTGGATGAGGACGGCTTGGTTAAGAAGCTGAATACGAAGACTATGGAGGTCAATCTTGAGGCCGTCATCCAGGGACTGTGGCTGTTCAAGTATTATGTCAGGAGAAGTAAAGAGGCAGGTGGAGGGAAGGGCAAGTTTGTTGCTACGAGCAGTGCAGCAGGGTTATAGTAAGTCGTTTTCCCCACACTTCTCAGTGCTCGAAGAGACTCAAGAGACTAACGAGACCATCAGCGCCATGACACAATGCCCCCAATACACCGCCAGCAAATACGGCGTGATCGGTCTATGCCGCGGCTCGGGCCCTGTATTCGTCAAAGAAGGCATCACCGTCAACGCAATCTGCCCTGCCTTCATCCCCACAAATCTCTGTCCACCAGAAGTCGCGGCGCGCTGGCCCAAAGAGCACATCACACCTTTGTCGACAGTGAACAAGGCCATGGACGCTTTCCTCGCAGACGATAACTTGACAGGCCAGGCGGTGGAGTTATCACAGGAGAATATCTACTTTAGACAACAGGTTGACTATCCGAATGAGAGTCAGCGGTGGATTGGCCTGGAGAGTGATAAGATCTGGGATGTGGGGTACAAGGAGCCCCCGAAGAGGGCGGGATACTAGCAATAGTCTTGTTTCAATCGAAGCTTCAACTTTTGGTAGGCTCGACCTTTTAGATCCGGCACAATCTCTCCTTTACCAACTCGGCCATGACACATTATGATCTTGATTATCCATCAATACGACAACGTAATGATGATCAAGATCATCATGTGTCATGGCCGAGTTGATAAATAAGGAACTTGTCTTATAACTATCATCTCTCCAAACAGCAAACTAAACACGTCAATAATGGAGTCCTTCCCTTTCTGCCTTCTCGCTCTCCTCCCTCATGACCTTGGCATGCGCTTCACTCCTCGGCCTGATATCGCATTCAAACGGCTCTGGTACACTCATAAACCCTGGCTCCATCTTCGTATTGACTTCCACCTCCCCTCCATCTTTCCCTTTCTTCTTGTTGAGGTTGAACCCCCAAAGTACGCGCGATACGTTGATGAAGAGCGAGCGCTCGGCGACATGGACACCAGGACATCCACGCCGCCCCGCGCCATAGGTGAAGTGATCGCGCTCTAGAGGATCGGGACTATTCATGTAGTGTGCCGCAGATGCGGTGTGGTTTAGATAGCGAGACGGGTCGAAAGCAGTGGGATTAGACCATAGTATTGGATCGTTGTGTATCGCCCTACAATGAGAATTAGTCAAAAGCACTCAGTAAGACGACGGGGAAGGGCAAGAATCGTACCACCAGTTCAGCACAACAACACTTCCCTTGGGGATAAACCACCCCTCGTACCAATCATCCTCACTACTCGCATGCGGCATGCCGAACTTATTGACCGGCCTCCACCTCAACACCTCCTTAATCACACTCCTCACATACGGCAGCTTCTCCTCATCCCCCCACGTCGGCAGTCTGTCTTTACCAACCACCCGATCCAACTCTTCCTGCGCCCTCCTCTGCGCGCCAGGAAACAGCACCATGCAAAGCACAAAGTTATTAAGCGTCGATCCCGTAGTTTCAGACCCCGCTTCAATAAGCCCACCACACGTATACGCCGCAGCCAAATCATCAATTCCAGATTTTTCAGGCCCGTTCAGATAAAACGTTTTCGTGAAGCAGTCTTTCGCTACACCAGCATCCGTGTCTTCTTTAAGCTTGTTCCACAGATCGAGGTACACTTTACTGTCTTGTTCGCACAGTTTCTGTCCATGGGTGCGCCAGTTGCCGAAGAGCCATTGCGGCAGCGAGGCTAGCGCGGGAAAGGAATCTATAGCCCAAGCTCCGGGCGCGGTGTTTACGGTGAAACGGTCGATGACGCCGTAGATGCGTTTGATCAGCGGGTCGTCCCAGCTGGGTATCCGGTAGCCGTAGGTGACTTGCATGATCACGCTGGCGGAGTAGCGGCGGTTGATGGACATGAAGTCAGCAGGGTCGCGCATTAGTTGTTGTAGTAAGACTTTGCTTTCAAAGTCTTGCACCGGTTGATAGTTCGTGCTCGCTGTTAAATTGAGGAGCGCATGGCTATGCTTGCGGATGCTGCGCCATCTGGGCCCGTATTGCATGAAGAGTTGGCGGCGGCCCGCTGATAAAACGTCTTGAGCCATGGGAGCTGGGGCGCGGGAAGAGTAGATGTTGGATTTCTTGTCCATGACGTCTTTTACGGCTTGGGGTGAGGAGAGCCAGATGTAGTCTGTTCCGCCGATCTTGGTGTGGAATACATGGCCGTACTGCTTGCGCCAGGCGATGGCTTTCTCGCGGACGGCTTCGGTGTCTGCAAGTTCGAAGAGGGAACCGACGAAAGGGTGACCCTTGGGACCTGGTGGGAGATGTCGACGTCTTGGGTCCTGCGGTCCGAGTCAGTGGAATATGAGCTGGGCTAACTCATGGAGTATGTTACCTTGATGGCGTTGGGTACGACGATGAAGTATATGGTTAAGAGAAGAAGTATTGGTGTTGTAGCAATAAGCCCAAGTTTGACAACAAAAGAGGATTGCCAAGTTGCCTGAACAATGTCGAGTATGGTCATGGTGGTTATTTGCTGTGTGAAGATGGAGGAAATGTTCAACCAGTTGAAAGCATACCTAGGTATCTTGAAGCACCTAGACAATGAGCTATAATGTTGTTGTTCTATTGATACAGCCTTTAACTTCAGATCTTCCAAAATTTGATGCAGCTATTGGTGAGGCTGTATATTCCAAGAGTTGGGGTATATCTAGGTAGTCCGTGGACCCTGCAGCTTCCCCGCAACATGGGCCCCACAAGCCGCTGTACCCCAGGATACCACAACATGATCCTAGTGAGACCAAGTCGGCATTGGACGTGAGCAAAAGGTTGGGAATGAGCACATATCCCTGAAAAGTGAAAGGGATTGAGGAGAGAACGATTCGAAAGCCGCAACACCCAACACCCCTTCCTCAACATGCCGTTAGAACGCGACGCCCCCGGCCGAACATTCATCCACCACCCTTCCGGTCAACGAACCCACTACATCCTGGATGACTTCACCGACCCATGGAAATCGCGAGAAACAATCTTGATACAACATGGTTTCGGGCGCCACGCCGCCTTCTGGTACCACTGGATCCCTGTTCTATCTCGCAAATACCGCGTCATACGACGAGACTTGCGAGGCCATGGACACTCCAGTTACCCGAAAGATTCGGAAGTGTATGATTACTCTCTAGAGACGATCCTAGGAGAAATGGTTGATACGCTTGATCAACTTGATGTCGAGAGAGTGCATTTCCTCGGCGAATCGACAGGGGGCATTCTGGGCGAGATATTCGCGGCGAAACACCCAGAGAGGCTGCTGAGCTTGACTGTTTGCTCTACACCGACTTATCTACCTCCAGTGGCTTTGCGGCTATTCGCTTTCGGTAGGAAGGATTGGCCGACGGCGTGCAGGGAGCTTGGGTCGCGGGGTTGGGCAGAGGAGTTGTCGCGCATTCCGGGGACTATCCCCGTGACGGATCCGCAGTATCTTCCGTGGTATTTAGAACAGATTGCTGTTAGTGACGGTGAGGGATTGGGCCAATACGCAGAGTTTCTGTCGACGTTGGATGCGAGACCGTGGTTGGAGAGGATAAAAGTGCCGACGTTGATTCTGTCACCGACACAGAGTGCTGCCGTGAGAGTCGAAGACATGAAAGCTTTAAGGGAGAAGATCGAAGGAAGCAAGCTCGTGCTTGTCGAGGGCCCTGGACATGAGATATATGTCACTCAAGCGGAGCAGTGTCAGCAGGCGTTTCTGGGATTCCTGGAGAATCTGGACAGGAATATCACTGAGGGATAAATTAACCTAAATAGTAATGGGTGTTTTACATTATGGATTGCTGCATGTATTATGCGCAAAACGTACTCGCTGGTATCGCTGTGGACCATTTTGACGGCTCAAAAAAAGAACGACCGCCCAATGTCTGCATCAAACGCCGTCAATGCAAGTGTGAGTGGGTTTTACCATCATGCTCCTAATGCGCCGCTATGCAATAATCATAAAACATGTGAAGCCAAAAACGTGAATGCTCGGTGCGAAGTGTAGAATGCACTGGGGTCGGTGGTGTGAAGTGTGGCAGATCATGCGTCCTGTCGCTCTCGTTCTCGTCGTTCATTCATATCCAGGGCCATCTTCTTGCTAAACTCGTAACAACTGATCATGATGGCGCATGCCGGTGCGATCTTGAGACATCGGGCAGCCCAACCCTTGAACAAACCTGGCATGCCTTGCTCGCGGTAGATGTGCATCAGAAATCGTGGCATGGATTGGTCTTCTGGCCGTGTCGAGTTCGCAATGTCTTTAGCGGTCTCGCCCATGTGCCGCGCGACTTGTTGTCTTGTCTTTCCGACGTCGAATGGTGTGGTAACAAAGGCCGCGACTGCTCCTGACGTAGCACCAGCGATGAAGCTATCGACTAGTGTATCTCTGTGGTTTTCCTGGCTTCGAGATCTGCTTCGTCGTCGTACCCTCTCCTCACCACGGCCCATGCGGAACTCGAAGCCGTCGTTTCTTGCCTCCCTCCGTCCTCGTTGGTCGGTCAGAACATTTCTTGTGGCTTCATAACCCCACCAATAGAAGGCCGAGAAGGGTACGTCGCGCCAGAGGGTCAATGTGAGGCCCCGCCATAGACTGAAGACTCCCTGGTTGCCGACCATGTCTTTCAGTCCATCCATTGTGTCTCGAAAGTGTCCGGCGGCGGTGGCAGTGGAGTTGGCCGCCTGCATTCGCGTTCGGAATATCTCGATCGGGCCTACCGCTATCGCAGCGAGTATCCGCGCAGTCGCTCCTGCCACTAATGGTATGTAGGCATCGGATACGGTTTGTCGTAGGGGCGAAGTTTGCGCTGTCCGCAGCCAATCGTATCCGGCGAAGTAGATGACGTTCGCAGGTACTGCCATGACCAGGGTTGGTGACAGTCCTCTCCAGAGTGTTCGCGGTCCCTCGTTCTGTGCAATCTTGCGTAGGCCATCCCATGTGCTATTTATTGTTTTCCGTTCGACCTCCTCTACCGCACAGCTCAGATCGGCGGGGTTGATGGGTGCCATGGTAGGCCCCGCCACACAGAAGGGTGCCTTGTTGTTCATCCAGAAGACTTCTCTACAGCAGGACGATATGCCGAGGTTCGGAGGCAGATCGCGGAATTGAGTGAGTGTGGCGCCATTGTATCCGCGTGGCCGTGACGCTGTGGTCGAGACGGTTTCTTGTGATTGTAATCGTACGCGGACGACGTCGAGGGGTGTGACTTGTGGGTATTAGTATCGACTTCCATGATGCGAGTACCCAAATGTGCAGAGTTTAGACGGGATAAGAACAACGCAATCGGAAAGACATATGTTGAAGAAATGTATAGATATTGCATACCTAGTAACGACGTGAGGACACTGCCAGACACTGCCGACAGCATCTTTTGTCCGAGCGACACATCGCCCACACCGCTCGGGTTCGCTTCCTCGGCTCGCTGGGTGGCCGTGGCCATGGTGCCGGTGGTCGGGATGGTAGCGGAACGGCGTGTTACCTCTCAGCGGCGAGGGTTGTGGTGTTGGAGGGCTCGATGGGCGAAAAGGGCGTACTGCGCATTGTTTTCTGGGGTGATAGGCAGGCACGAGTGGTGACGAAGGCGACGGGAAGCTTTGACGCAAGGACTCAATTATCGGAAGGAACTACGCACTTTTGGCGCGTCATTCCCGCGCCGCCCACGTTGCGCCCCCGCCGAGTGATTGGACCGCCGGCCGAAAGTCAGAGGAAAGGGCGTTGGCTTATCAGATGGCGCATGGAGCCGGGGCTAGATCATGCATCGAGTGGCGCCCTTCATCGCCTCGCCGTGGCTTCACAGGCCCCTTCATGCACGCCTAATCGCTGTGGACGGAACATTGTCCTGAGTCACACTCCGTTGTATCATGTATTCTTACTAAAAGCCTGCTGCTAGCCTCTGCATTGTACCCTGCACGCCCTATTGCCATCGACACCTGCGACTTCGGACATACCGCATCTAACCGACAAGTACTACCGATCTTGGCCAAGTTTGTTACCATGGACCCCAAGGACGTTTCCACCAACACCGAGGCCGAGCTTGAGTCTTTCCGCCAGAAATGGAGAGAGGAAGTCACTGCCCGGGCCAAGGGTAAGGCGCCTGCATCGTCGGCATCCGCAAAGCCCACCGCTACTTCCTCAACCACCAGCAAACCCCATCCAAGCAAAAGCAACGCGCAGGATGCTCAACATCACACTCGTGCTCGAAGTTTGAGCCTAGAAGGCGGTGACGAAGTCAACTCATACACGTACCACAATCTGGGCGAGAAGCAACATGGCCGGAGACTTGATGAGACCAGTGCCCAGACCGCTGCCGCTATCGCTGAGGAGGCAGAACCAACATCGGCATTAGAACACTATGAGAAAGCCGTAGAGAAAGAGAGTCAAGGTAGTCTGGGTGATAGCGTCGATCTATACAGAAAGGCGTTTAAGCTCGACTCAGGAGTCCAAGAGACCTACAAGGCAAAGTACTTTCCGCCCTCATACTTCAAGAAACTCAAGGCTGCACAAGCGGCAAGTGCAGCGGCTTCATCAGCTGCTCCGAAGCCCCAGGACCCTAACCCATCCAATGCCTCCGCGACAGTGCCTAATACCGCCCACCACTCCCTACATGGCCTCTCGCCCTCGTATCAAAACCTCATCAGCGAATACGCCAGCACCTCCATTCTCGGTGAACTACCGCCAACAGAATTCAGTCCCGCGCCACCAAGTCCTATCTCTAAAATCCCGGAGGAAATTATCGTTGAGATACTGGAGCAACTCGCCGTACAAGACATAGCATCATTTGCCCGTCTAGCCCAAGTATGCAAACGCCTCGCCTACCTCGTAACCACCGAAGACCGCGTCTGGAAACGACTAGCTCTCGGGCCCGAATATGGCTTCGCATCCATGCACTACAGCTGGTCATGCGAAGTAGGCGGGAAACCACTTGAGGAAGACCAAACTGGCGGAATAACCCTAGGCACCGCCAACCTTGACCTCTCCGACAGCGAAGAGATAGAACCTGAGTCAGAACCACTCCCTCCAGCACTCCTGACCCAACTTCTCGTGCCAACTCCGTACCCCACCTACCGCGTGCTCTTCCGTCAACGCCCGCGCATCCGCTTCAACGGCTGCTACATCAGCACAGTAAACTACACGCGCCCAGGACAAGCCGAGCCCACAACCTCCTCCTGGAACTCACCCATCCACATCGTAACCTACTTCCGATACCTACGCTTCCTCCGCGATGGGACGTGTATCTCGCTACTTACCACGACTGAGCCCGCAGACGTAGTGCCATATCTCTACACCGAACACATCCGTAAGAACCATCACAACCTACCCAGCGCGCCGATGAAAGACGCCGTGCTGGGCCGCTGGCGTATGAGTGGACCTGAACCGGGTAGTGGAGAACAAGAGGGCACGGTCCATATTGAGAAACCGGGAGCGACGCCAAAGTACATGTACAAGATGGCGCTTAATTTTGGTAATGCGGGCAGAGGGGCTAAGAATAACAAACTGGTTTGGCAAGGGTACTGGAGCTATAATCGGTTGACGGATGATTGGGCCGAGTTTGGGCTGAAGAACGATCGTGCGTTTTACTTTAGTAGGGTTAAGAGTTATGGAATGAGTTGGGATGAGAGGGGGATCAAGGAGTAGGCGTCAAAGATGCAGAGTTGAACGTTAGCAATGAAGGACTGCCAATAACGGTCGCTGAATGGGCAAATAGTTGTTAGAAGTCCATGAACGTGCACAGACGTGTGAACGTGATGTTGTTCAATTCTTCCTTTTCGCATTATTCATAGACAGCTGTCTCTACGACGTGGCGTAGCATTAGCGTGTCCGTGTTGTGGTATACACTCCTTCTCTTGTCTCTGTGTCTTTACCGTCTGGGCATGCCGCGGCCACGTCCCCTTCCGCCGAGTGCCCTTTGGGCGGCGCCTGGTGGTAGCGGCCTGTTGGGTGCCTGTGGTTGCTGTGACTCCTGGTTCTCTGCTTGTTGTTAGCACTTGCTTACGACGCGACATGGTTTCACATACTGATTGTCTCGTCAACGCTCAAGATGAGGCAGGCCGCCTCTGTCGCCGCCTGCAGAGCGTTGACCTTGACCAGACTAGGCTCCCACACGAACTTCTCCATGTTGTTTGCTATGCTCTCAGTTGTGAAGTCGACACCGGCCCAGATGTTGCCCTTCTTGTGCTCTACGCGAAGGCGGTTGAGGATGTCCGTCGCGTCGACACCGGCGTTGTCGCACAGTTGCCTAGGAATGACCTCGAGTGCCTTCGCGAACGCCTTGATGATGGGTTGCTGCTTGTGCGGGATGTTACTGTCGGCGTAGTTGTGTAGGTATGATGAGATCTCCATCTCGACGGCGCCACCTCCGGCAACAATGTTCCTGTTCTTGATCGCACGCTTGACGATCATGATCGCGTCGTGTAAGCTTCGCTCGACCTCGGCGATGAACTGCTCTGCGCCACCACGGAGCACCAATGTGCAAGTCTTGGCCTCTGGGCAGCCCTGGAAGAAGTTGAAACGCTCGCCACCGATCTGTCGCTCGTCGAAGGATTCGCAGGTTCCGAGATGCTTGCTCTGGATGTCAGAGCAAGTAGACTGGAGGCTCGCGCCCGTTGCCCGGCAGACACGGTCGAGGTCGTCTGCGGCAACTCGTCCGGCACAGAAGATGTCGCGGTCTGCAAAGTACTGTGTCGCCAAATCGCCGATGGGGAGCTTGCTCAGAACAACCTTGGCGCCCGTCTTGTATAGCGCTTCCATCTTGTTGTAGATGATCTGCCACTCTGCGTCGACAATCGCCTGGTATTCCGAGACCTGCTCCACCCGTACCTCAGCGTTGTCCTTCTCACTCTTGAGCTCGAGTTCGACGTTCAGGCAGACGATCTTGGGCTGCTTGAAGGTCTTCGGTTGCTGCTCGAAACCGGCGTATGAGAAGGTCTTCTTGAATGCGACACCGTTAACGAACAGTGAGTCCTGGAGAGCACCACCGGTAATCTTCTTTACTCCGATGAGCTTCTCGTTCAACTCGTCTTGGTCGAGCGAAAGTACGGCGTCCACGACCATCTTTGTGAAGAAGTCGGCGTTCCTGTGAATGAGCTTGCTGCTCATGGCGGTCGCGGCGAGCTTCTGAAGGGTGTCCCGCTGGTTGCCCTCGGCGGTGTCTACAGCAATCTCCATGATCTTGTTGACAGCAAGATGCGATGCTCTCCGCAGACCCTTCATGATGGTCTGGCTGCTGACTCCCTGCTCGACAAAGTCCTTGATCTCCTTCAGTATCTCTCCGGCGATGACGACAACGGACGTGGTACCGTCGCCCACTTCGGCATCTTGCGATCGTGCGATATCGGTGAGGACGCGGGCGGCGGGGTGGACGATGTCGAGAAGCTGCACGCAGTCAGTATTAGTTTACACGATAAGGTTTTGTGGCATAATCTACCTTCATGACTGTGGCGCCGTCGTTGGTGATTGTCTGCCTGCCATTCTCGTCGACCATGAGCAGATCACCGCCATACGGTCCTAGGGTGCCCTTGATCGTGGCCTGCACAGCGAGGCAGGCGTTGATGTTTGATATTACCTGCCCGCGACCCTGTGACTGATCGGTACCTGAGGCTGTAAGCTACGTGTGTATCAAAAAGTGTCGAGGCACCTACCCTCCCGCAACACCACAATGGTCGGTGTTTGACCGCCGAACGACATGCTGGCTGATGGTGCAAACACAAAAACTTGGATTCAGGTTGTGGAAGCTTTGGAACTCGAACAAAGCTGGCGGTGTAATGTGAGGGGTATGCGCAGCCGTATGTTTCCAACTTGTCTGCGGGGAACGCGTTCCCGTGAATTTTCCATTTCCAGGGCACGTCCGTCTCGTTGCCAAGGCCGTCCGTGCCCTTGTTGACAACCTTCTTCCGACCTTCTCTCAACCTTCCATGCGTTGTGCCACAGTACGCCATCGCAGAACCCCCAAACCTCCAGCCTGCATTCCTCGTCGTCGCAGCATCCATACGATCAATCCCGTGCTGCGTAGTGACTTTGACACGGCACATGTGACTTCGTGACCGCTTCGTCTCATAGGGTGAACCTATCGCAGGACTTGCCATTAGCCCCGACCACATCCACAGACTCTCTCCCGTAAGCGCCCATTCTACGAGCATGCCGGCCAAGACATCTGCCAAGAAGGTCAGGTCATCCCGTACTTGTGGTCTTTAGTGGCACTGACGTGTGTATAGATGGCGCCCACACCCAAGCCAACCGAGGATATCCGCCTACGTCGTCTGGACCGTCGTTCTAAAGAGAGTGTAGAGAAGCAAATATCGCTAGCCGAGACCATATCGCCTTTGGATACATATCCACCATTACTGCGCATTCCATCTGAGATCCGGAGAGAGATCTTCCGGTACGTCTTACCATCGTCAAACAAACGCTTCATTCTGTACACCGACTGCGACTCTCGATCCATCAACAGAAAATGGAACAAGAACTGCCGCCCGCATCCAGATAGACATTTGACTCTGGACATTCTGCGAACGAACCGCCTGATCTATCACGAATGCCTGCAAATCATCTACTCAGAGAACCAGTTCCATTTCTATGCATTTAATTATCTACCTGTTCTCGACTTCATACGCCATCTCAGTCCTGAAGCGAAGAACCAAGTCCGCAATGTGCGGCTTACGCCTTTGACGGATAAGCAGGATGATCCGCCGGCGTCGCACGATGTCTTCTGTACCGTCATGCATGACTCTCTTCCTGGACTCAGCCAACTGCAGGCAGATCCCGTTGTCTTCTTCTAGGAGGACGGCTAGCCTTTCCTTCAATTTCAGTTCTCCACCTGTCCAGTCGTCGCATCTAGGTACATAGGCGAATCTACGAGGATGTGACCTTGCGTATAAGGCATACATGAGACATTCGATCATTGTATGGCAGCCTTTTTGTCTCCAACGTATGGCACGATCAAAACTATTCGATGATGCTGACCACTCTAGACTTCCTGTGACCCCAATTACTGATCACGCTGGAGATCAGTCACCCGGGTCCAAATCTCAAGCTTAGATGGCCTCGTTATTGATGACTGGACAGCTCAGCCGGCATGGCTGCCGTGCCAGTGAGCCTTTTCGACCTGGAATGTTCTTCAATGATCGCCAGGAGATCTTGATGTTCCGAATCAGAGGCAATGTCATAAGGGCTCTTGCCCTCTGCATTCGCTTGAAACGGATTTGCTCCTCTCTCGCATAAGAAGGATGTCACTGTGGCTCGAAGATCCAGATCCCATTTGTAGGCGCCTGTCCAGAAAGAAACAGCTTGGTGCAGCACGGTTCCCCCGGATGTCGTCATCGGTGCATTGATATCCCATCCGCGGTTGAGCAAGACATCCATGACTGCGATGATGCGGCTTGGAACGAGGTGCTTGTCGGCATCCGACGTGGTCTTGATCAGCCATGAGCGACTCATAAGCTGTCCGGCCAAGGTCGACCAGGTGTCCGGCTCGGCTGGCACCGCTCCATTGGCAGTGAGCAAGTCGACCATGGCCACTTGTCGAGCGCCTACAGCGAAGTTGAGCGGCGTTAGAGTTGTTGAGTAGCCAAAAGGAACTTCGTTGACGCTGAACCCCGCTTGGATCAGGGTCCTCGCCATAACCACTTCTCCCAGCAGCGCGGCGAAGTGTAGCGCGGTGACTCGCTCTGGGCGGCCCCGTTTGCGCACACTCGAGCGCCAGAACCCCTTCTTCTTGTTAAGGATAGCTGTCAACGCTCCATGATCTCCATCGCAAACAGCCTCTTCGGTCCGATCCCTTGGTTGGCATCCGACTTTACCAAGGATCTCTTTGCGAGATAAGGGCTTTCCCTCGGATGTCGCCATATGCCTGGGTTCATCCGAGCTCGGAATCACTGGTTCTGCTTTTCTCGGGCTAGGAGAGTAGCCCTGTGTCCAACTTCCATCCTCTGACGGCCTCCATTCTACTCTGTTTGATGCAGAAGGTTGCGATTTTCCCATTGGAGGGCTGGAATCCACCAGAGTCATGTTCTCGGATATAACACTTCGAGGCGCTTTCCAAGGCCGAGCAGCCAGTACCATGGACACAGATGCTGAGTCGCTCCCAGTAGGTTCTGGCGAGGCTTCCAAGCTTGTTTCGGAGAGTCTGCTGCGAGGTCGCTCTCCTATCGCATCGGTCTCGGAGGGTCTCGCACGCGAGAGAAGCGAAGAAAACTCAAGGTGCTCTACGCTCGTTTGTAGCGATTCTTCGACTGCCTTCAAAGAGGCTTCTCGGTTTGCCTCCGGTATCATGGCAAGGCAGGATTTCGCAAGCGCACGGTTATTGAGCAAGACGTAAATGTGAGCCATAAGAGCCAAGGACTCCAAAGACGAAGCATGCCGTTTTCCCAGTAATCGTCTTCTTGCTTGTAAGGCCTTCTCGCATTCGGCTCGTGCACGGTCGAGTTGCCTCATTCGGACATATAACTGAGACAGCAAGTGCGTCGCGTTGTGAATGCATTCACGTTGCTGATCAGAGTCTGCTGGCTGGTTGACAAATCCGATCAGAGCTTTTGCCGCATCTACAGGTTCCTGAACGTGGTAGGCGCAGACTGCAAGCCTGTAGAAGAGGCTGAACACGTCACAGAATGCGCGTTGGCGCGTTGACAGCCCTTGCAATATTCTGAGTGCTTCTTGGAGTAGAGAGTCCGCCTCGTCCCAACTTCCGGAATCGAAGGCTTGCGAGCCTGTGCTCAAGGCCGCTTTCGCGAAGTCGGTGTCCAGATCATCGTCCGAGTCGGATGTCTCACGCTCTTGTACACCTTGAAGTGGAGCCGCACCTCGCAAGACACTGAGAGCTCTCCTAGGGCTCTTTGTTGGCACCGACTCCTTTCGATCTTCTCGTATTGCTTGGATAGCCTTCATCCATGGCAGACGATCGCTATCGCTAGAGACCTTGGGTGAAGTCTGAGCTATAATGTCTTCCCGTGGGTTGGCTTCCGGAGTATTCATTCCTTTCACGATAACCTCTTGCGCATACTGCATCAACGTAGCCTCCGTATGAGAATACCGCCATGGCGGACCGACCTGGGATGATCGTTGTAGCTTCTTAACCATTTGTTGAAGCTTCATGACGTCAGGTGCAGGACGTCGTTCGGCCTGAATAGGCGCAATATAGGAGAGGACCCTGGGAGACGATTCAGCGGTTGAAAACAATTTTGGTGCAAGGAAGGACCTACGCCTGAATCAGAAGTAACGTAGTTCTCAGATTGTCGCTGTGTCTGTGTACAGCGGCTCCCATTTCTTCAATCTGCTCCTTATTGTTGTGCAGCTCGACAAGGCGTTGCGGCTGGAACACAACGCTGGCCTCTTCGGCCTCTTCCATCCTGACAGCGCTGACGAATGAGTTCAGGCTATCTATAGTCTGACTTGCATCCTCGACCTGAGTTGCCAGGCAACTCCACATTCGACCATCTCCATCATAGGGTGGAGGTGACCCTGTCTTGGTCTTGCTTGCGACTTCTGCCAGTTTGAGGTGAATCTGGTAACACTCATTCCCAAGCGACTTCACCTCCCCCACAAGATTGTCAAGGGATGCATCGCAATGTTTCGCGTCCAGGTTGAGTTCGGAAAGAGATACAAACAACGCCCAAGCCGTTTTGTTCAGAACCGAAACTGCGGAAGATGCATCCGCCGGTGTGGTTGCAACTCTCTCCATCGCAGATGGTCGATATTTGCATTGCGATGGGTGTGAGGCCCAGGAGAAATCAAATTGCTGGCTGCGCAGACGCTATGCTATGCAGTGTGACGTGAAAAGTACCGATAGCTACACAGGTCGTGGCTTACGCCATGGAGCAGTAGATCATGCGGTGAGCCTGACCGGGAGAACTACTCAACGCTGGAGTACACAGCGACGCCGATCTTGAACTTTGCCGTCCAATAGACACATGGAAGAAATATTGAAAGTCTATACCATTGGGGCCGGCGGGGTTATTGGTTTCGCAATGCCCTTGCTTGTGCACTTCGACCAAGGGCCGAACACAACTATCCCTATTGGTCGATGCGCGCCATGATACGCCTGTCACATATCTCTCACGAAGGGCTTTGCGAATGTGATGGAAAGAGGCGTAGACGTACGAGCAAGATGATGGGGCCGAAACATATCCCAATGCGTCCATTTTGACCTCCGCACCTCATTCCGAGCACATGGACCTTCCAGCTTACTGGGCTGATACGTGTTGCGACTCGCAGTGGTACTTTGCATGTCTTGGCTCTATCTCCGCAGTGGGCGGAGCCATCTCTGTGGACGCAGGTTGCGTTCACAATTTGGCGTTGGGGTACGCCACGGGCTTACATAGGCGCGCCGCACATAGCAGTCTTACGCGACGGGCTGAGCTGCGCAAAGTGAGCTTCCGATCGAGCCTTGCTCGTGTAACCGATCTTAGTGCACCAAACAGAAATATATCGACCAGAGGACAGCATTTTGAGATTAAGTAGGACTTCAGCATTCTGACGATACCAAGCATGGATAGCTTCCACCCCCAGAATTGGGCACTCTGCATAAAGAAGGGTGTGGTAACACAGCTGGTGAGACAAAGATAGCGAGACTGCGCTGCCACAATCATGCACTGCGCCAATCAGTCCATCTATCGAAAAGCACGACTGCATGCACGTCCGCAGATCGGACTCAACTGGCCCCATCGTACGTGAGCGATCCAGCAACAGCTACTAAGACGAACAGACCAGCCTGACCCGCATTCTGAATCCTTCCTTTGTCTCGTCGTTTCAGGTTCGCACGGTAGAATCAACATCATCCCATTTTTCCATCTACAGCATCCCCACTTGCAGCTCGCCGATTAATTGCTTGAATACAAGGCTCAAGTCCCACGAGACGCCCCGTCAGTTATACGAGCACCAATGGCGAAAACCGACGACTCTGGGTGGGCAAGCGCAAGAGCGCCTGTCAGTAACGGCGACCATGGAGATTTCGAAAGACCGAAAGGATGGAAATACCGCAGCTTGAGAATCGGACCCATCAAGCTTCCATGCTATGCATCGCCAGAATCGCAATTGATATTAGTCTCATTTGTCTGCTTCTTGTGTCCCGGTAGGCAGCACACGATCGTAGTAACGCACAGTTTACTAACTCTACACAGGCATGTTCAACGCCGTCAATGGTATCGGAGCCGCAGGTCTCGACGATGATGCACATGCCAGCAACGCTGCGAATACTACACTTTATGCTACCTTTGCAATCGTCGGTTTCTTCGCTGGCACTATCACCAATGTCCTCGGTATTCGAGTTGCGCTTTCCTTCGGCGGTCTGGGGTATTGCGTTTACGTCAGTGCATTGCTTTGCTTCAACAAAACTCAGAACTTGGGCTACGTGGTCTTTTCTGGGTTCTTGTTAGGATGTTGCGCTGGCATACTGTGGTCGGCGCAAGGTGCCATAATGTAAGCTGACTTATGAAGAGTATGTGAGACATATACTGACTTCGTACCTCTGCAGGATGAGTTATCCGCCAGAGAAGCAGAAGGGGCGGTATATCTCTTTATTCTGGATGTAGGTGTCGCTGTACGGACCGTACCGAGATAAGCTAATTTCTTATGATAGCATCTTCAACATGGGTGCTGTTATTGGTAGCCTGGTCCAGCTTGGGCTGAACTTTGATACACAAAACGCAGACGGGCCAGCAGCTGTCACTGACCAGACATACATCGGCTTTATGGTCCTCACATTCCTCGGCGCCTGCCTCTCCTGGACACTCATTGATGCCAAACACGTCATACGACGCGACGGCAGCCGAATTATCATGATGAAACACCCAACTTGGCAGTCCGAGATCCTGGGTCTTTGGGAGACTCTGCGTACGGATCCGTATATCATACTCCTCTTTCCGATGTTCTTCGCTTCGAATTGGTTCTACACGTACCAGTTTAACGACGTCAACTACGCACGTTTCAATGTGCGAACGCGCGCACTCAACAATGCGCTTTATTGGTTGGCGCAGATACTCGGAGCTGGTGTGTTTGGATTTGCACTGGATTTCCCGAACGTCAGAAGGACTACCAGGGCGAAGATTGCCTGGGTAGTCATGCTATTGTTGACCTTCGCCGTTTGGGGAGGAGGGTACGTATTCCAACGACGGTATCGTCGCGACGATGATAGCCACCACTTCGATTGGACAGACGGCGGGTATGGTACGTAAAAGTCATGTGCGAAATGCACGTGAGACATGTACTGACTTTTTATCTCTACCTCTGCAGGCGGCCCGATGGTGTTGTACATCAGCTATGGCTTCTACGACGCGGCATGGCAGACATGCGTGTACTGGTAAGACTGTCTTTCCATTGGCATGCTCTCTGCTAACAGCCCTCAGGTTCATGGGCGCAATCTCGAACAACAGTCGAAAGCTCGCCAACTTTGCTGGCTTTTACAAGGGCATTCAATCAGCTGGCGCAGCTATCGTGTTCCGCCTAGACGGCTACAAGAGGCCTTACATGGACATATTCCTATCCAGTTGGGTGTTGTTGGCTGGAAGTTTGATCGTCGCGCTGCCAGTGATGCTGCTGAAGATCAAAGACACGGTGCCGCTTGAGGAGGACTTGAAATTCACAGACGAGACCGTCGAGGATGTGCTGGGTAGGAGGGATGGCTACTTATTGGATGAGCCCGAGAAAGCGTAGGACATTACGTCCGGACATGGGAAGGTGCCGTTCTCGCCTACATGGATACGGCGGGAGCTACGACCAAAGGACAGTTAGCGCTTAACCAATGCGATCTGCATCATCAGACATCAGGCGCGAAAACCGTGAACAGATTTCTCATCAATTTTTTCCCCATCAAACGCGCGTGTTCAGCTGTGCGATGTCGCCTCCGACTCCGTTGCGATACCGATGAGCTACTGGAGCACTCTATGCCGAACTCCGGCGCCCCTCGGAGTTCCATGTGCGCTGCGTCGCCCACTCCGAAAGCGCTTTGAAATCAGCGCCATGCACTCTTTCCAAATTATGACATCTCTACCAGTCTGCCATGCCCCGCTTTCGAGGAGGGATCGCTTTTCTCTTCCTGTGTTAGAGCTGAACAGCACATCTTTATTGGCATGTTGGGCACGATCTGGGTCGGAGGACCCTGCGGTCAACAAATTGCTATGCATTTATCGTTGATATCATACAGCATCAGCGCAGAATGGATTGCTATATAATTGAAGCCCTCTGTGGATGTTTTCTAGAGCAGCATTCTGACGATATCTACGTTCAACACTCATCATGGAGACTAGAACTCAATCGGCCCTTACAAGCACCGGCACCACGCCCGACAACCAATCGGAATTCGAGCTTGAATCAAGCCAACGATGGAACGAGCAGCCCGTAAACGAGAACGAGTCTTTACTACCGCCGACTGATGGCGGGAAAGATGCGTGGTTGTTCGTTGCGGCTGGGTTTATGGTGGAGATGATGGTATGGGGTGAGTGTGAAGTGTTTCATTGACTACGCCTTTGCCCTCGTAGTATCATCATGACTACATATCTCTCAACTCAATCTTGCCGTAGTAGTGTTGTCTAATTCGAAAGTTTGCTAATATACCTACTAGGCTTCCCATGGTCATATGGCATCTTTCAAGAGTACTACAGTTCATCTCCAGAATTCGCAGGTTCATCTGGTATCCCAGCCATCGGCACTTCAGCGATGGGCATTCTATACATGATCGCGCCATTGACGTTTGGTTTGTTCACCCGCTGGCCGCAGTACAGAAGGAAGGCCATGGTCGCTGGTGTATTCACCATGTGCCTTTCGCTTGGGCTGAGCTCTCTGTGCACGACCGTACCACAACTCATCGTCACTCAAGGGATCTTTTATGGTGTTGGCGGCGCAATAGTGTACTGTCCTTGTATCATACTCTTGGATGAATGGTTTGTAAGACGCAAAGGTCTCGCATTTGGTATCATGTGGGCAGGTACAGCACTTGGCGGCGTCGTCATTCCGCTGTTGCTGCAGTTCCTTCTCAATCGCTATGGCTTCCGCAACACGCTACGCATATGGGCAGGCCTACTCTTCGCAGTTCTTCTACCCGTCACAATCTTTATCAAACCACGGCTGCCTGTCTCGGCAACTACTAGGTGTGGAATTACTTTCACTTTCCTCACAAACAAGACCTTTTGGGTTCTGCAGTCTGGCAACATCTTGCAGGGCTTGGGATTCTTTGTACCATCCATCTGTAAGTGTCTATACGAACTTCACTCGCGAAGTACGCTGACTTTGTGCTCCAACATGAAGACCTGCCTACATACACCAAAGCACTGGGATTCAGCAGCACAGTCTCCGCCGTTCCTCTCATTCTCCTCAATGTCGCCGCTGTCATCGGATCCGTTAGTATGGGAAGCATCATCGATCGCACACACGTCACCACCGCCATCCTCATTTCCACCATCGGTGCCATGATCTCCACTTTCCTAATCTGGGGCTTCAGCACGTCTCTACCGCCGTTGCTGATCTTCTGCTTCACATACGGACTTTTCGCAGGCAGCTTCGCGAATACTTGGCCTGGCATCATGAGAGCAGTGCAAACAAGTACGGGACAGATGGAGAGCTCCATGGTCTTCTCGTTCTTGTGTATGGGTAGAGGTATTGGGAATATTGTCAGTGGGCCTATCAGCGAGGCATTGATTAAGACGGGAACTCTTGGTGAGCATGGATTGTATGGGACGCAATATGGCAGTTTGGTGGTGTGGACGGGGGTTAGCGCTGCGCTTGGGGGTGTGAGCATCATCGGAAGGAGGGTGGGATGGCTGTGATGGAGCTTGGACCACCGCGACGCGGAATGGCGCGAACTGGCGCGTATGATGTCACTTCCAAAGCGCGTGCAATGACGACCCATAGTACATGTTCAATCACGTAGAAATCCACCTTCAATATTCCACTACCAAAGCATCAATCCTGTCCAGGTTCTCTTTCGCATCAGCTGAGGCACCCTATACCCCAGCTTCGCATAATCCCACCTTTTTCAGCCTGCTTTTGGGTCAGAGTCCGCCCCCTCCCACATCATCCATCTGCCGCATACCCAATTCGCCGGACATGGACAGCCTGATAAATTTCGCTTCATCAGTGGGTATTTCTCTGCCGCTTCAGCTGCCGGATCGGGCACTAGCCATGCCCGTCTTCCGTCCCCGACCTCCCGTCCCGTTCGTTCCCGCGAGGTATTTCGGATCACCCAACCTTCGTTCCGATCACTTCTAGCTGCTATTGACTAGTAGGCATGGAACCCCTAAAATGATGCTACTTTGTACTGTCAACAGATTCTCTGATATTCAGCCAGGCGCCTATAGGCGGCGAAGAGACTTCAGCCTCGCGTCTATCCGAAATCTAGAGTTCTTTGGTGGCTGCATGAGCTGAGCGCTTATATTGATCAGCTGCAGTCACTGATGGGTGACTCTTTGCTCAAAGAGTCTAAAAACAGCGATGGCTTCTCATGGCTTATGGGAGATGGCTCTAGTCCTCCCAACATTGGTCACTATTCGTGGGGTTTGCGGCTCAGACCTGCTTACGCTAAGCCGTCCAATATCCGTATGCTGATACATGCATCCACAGATCAGGCTGGAATCTAGCCTCGCGTAAACCAACTAGGTGAGAGGAGTTCCGCACCTTTCTTCCTACTGAGGAACATCGCGCGCCCGTTTCGACCATTTGCCATTGAACTACGAGGTTTGCGAGGCTGTCCAGACGATATGTCGAGTCCCTACCGAAGAGCAGCCGATCCGATGATTTCACGGCCGCCATCATATACGCCAGAGATTCCTGTAGTCAAAACATCCAGGTCAGAATCTTCCAAGAGCACCGGTCGGCCTCGAGGATCGTTCTCTACCGGTGTCTTTCGGGATGGACCAAAGCCTACCTTGGATCCATCGCATGCGCTCTCACGCGATCGATCTGAGGTCACCGTCGATGAATCTCCGCTACGGCTGTGCGAGAGTTGCGAGGTTGAAAAATCTCCTGTATGGGATTGTTCATATTGCGACATGAACTTTTGCGACGACTGCTGGGGGAAACAGGGCCCCCACAAAGCGGGACGCACTGGGCCTGATGGTCTTCCGCATGAGAAGGCGAACCCAACTGTTGTCAAGAGGCTGCGAGACATTTTGACTCCTCCTCGAGAGCATAGAGAGCAGCAGATATTACACATCGAAGACGAGGATACAACGTGGTTTGGAATGGTGCGCAATAGTCAAAACTCGCCTGCCTTCCAGGACTATGGTCGTTACTCTGCCATCATGGCGGATAGTAACTCTGGCGAATACAAGTACCGTTTCCCGCAACTTGTATCTTTCATTGGTCAGACCGGAGCAGGCAAGAGTACACTTATCAAGATGCTCATCGATCAACAAGAACGTATGAGCCAGCCAAGGAACTGGAGTCTCCCGTCACCTGTCGCAGGAACATCAGCAAACAGCAACGTACCCACTTCCGGTGACGTACACTTGTACAGCGATCCAAGCACATACAATACCGAGTACCCGTTACTCTACGCCGATTGCGAAGGTCTGGAGGGTGGCGAAAATACCCCGATGGCTGCGCAATATCGAAGTAGTGCGACAGCACCACAGAAAGAGAAAGGGAGGGAGGATGTCGCATTGGGCGAGCACCGAAAACGCCGCAAAGTCACCAAAAGCTTGCATAGCACCCAGAGAGACATCAAATGGGCGAACTCTCCTGATAAATCAAAACGACAATACGCTGTTACGGAACTCTACCCTCGCCTTCTGTACACATTCTCCGATGTCATCGTGTTCGTTCTGCGCAATGCAAAAACCTTTGAATCTACAGTGTTGGGATTGCTTATCAAATGGGCGGACTCTTCCTTTGAGAAGTCAGTGAACCAGCCTACACTCCCGCACGCTGTCATTGCACTCAACGCAACCGACACAAAAGTGGATCAGGAGGAGTGGGATCCTGAGTACGCGACAGAGCTTCTTATGTCCAACGTCGCCGGAGCTATCAGTCGCGATCCAGCATATCGTGAGCGGCGAGATTATTGGGTTGGAAGAGGCAGACGTATTCGAACTATGAAGGATCTCCTTGAGTGTTACTACTCTTCGATCACAGTTGTACGGATCCCTGGCGAAGGCCGATATATGATGATTGATCAACAGGTAACGAAGCTTCACCAAGTCGTCACACACCGATGCCTGGAGTCATTCAACGCCAAACGACGGTCGCGCATGCTTTCCAATTCCGACAACCTCAATGTCTATCTACAATGTGCATTCGACCATTTCTCGCAGGACCTTCATTCACCATTCGACTTCATGGACATTTCCTTCAAGATCAACCCGATACCTCAAGACTTTGGAGGTCATGTCTTGAAGTTGGCCGTTGCAATGAAAGCTCAATTCGACGACCCCAGGAAGATCTTCAAGGAACTGAGCCACATGGTGACCTCTTGTATACTTTTGGACTGCGTTCGACAGGATCTCAAAGGATCTGCAGAGCAGATCTTGGAAACACAATACATGACGCACTGTGATGGTGCTCTTGACGACTTTTGCGCTATCTTCTGGCCGTGTTCTTTCATCAACAGAAGAGGCGAACGATGTGTCAATGTAAAGGAGCGACATGTGAAAGGACACCAAAACCAAAGAGGCAGCGTCATTGGATCTGGCCCCTATGAGTCAGACTTCACATTTGACAAGTTCTATGAAGACTGGTTCGAATACCTAAAGCATTACCTGATCGAAAACAAGTCAAAGCTTGATTTGCAAATGACGAAGTCTCCAACAACTGAGGAGGATGCGGTCAACAAACTCCACTTGGCCAACGTTACCGGCTTCTATCACCACATGGGGGGCGCAAAGAACTTCGTCAGCCACACTACCTGTTTCTGTTGTTTAAGGGAACTGGCCGAGCATCCCTTGCCTTGCGGACACGTGCTTTGCACAGCGTGTGTCAAAGGTTACGGCAGCCCACATCGGGAACTCTCAGGATCTTTCACTATCGCCACATGTCCGCTGCACGATCACCAAGCTGTCTTTCCTACACCAGTAGAGATCTACTTCAAGCCTCCACTGGCAGGCCTACGGATTCTGTCTCTTGATGGAGGTGGTATACGAGGGATAGTCATCCTGGAAGTCCTTCGCCAAATACAACAGGAGCTAGGTGGTCATATCAAAGTCCAAGAATTCTTTGACCTCATCGTTGGCACCAGTACCGGGGGTATCTTGGCGCTCGGTCTTGGTGTCAAGAATTGGTCTGTAGACCAATGCAGTCAACTCTTTCTCAGAATGGTGGAGAAGGCGTTTACACCCAAGTTCTTTGGAGGGGTAAGCCTGGGAACCAACAAATACCACACAAAACCTCTAGAAGAAGCTTTCAAGGAGTGTTTCAAGGATGAGGCCATGTTTGGTGGGTTACGTGACACTCCAGTTGCTAGCGCGTGCAAAGTCGCTGTTACCTCTGCAACGGAGACTGCGGAACAAGCAGTCATATTTACAAACTACAATCGCGCAGAGGACGAGCAAATTGGCTACCAGTTGGTCCGACCCGACGATCCGAAGAATGATGTCTTGATCAGAGAAGCTGCACGAGCAACCTCTGCGGCTCCGACATACTTCAAGCCGTTCAGAAACGCACGTACAATGGAGGGTTATGTGGACGGTGCTGTCTTTCACAACAACCCAGTTCGCATCGCCAATTATGAAAGCAAGCTTCTTTGGCCTGATGCCGATCAGCGACCTCCTGATCTTCTTCTGTCCATAGGAACTGGTCAACACGGCGCAGATACCGACAATTCTCTGAATGCCTCACGTTACGATAGCAGGCGATTCCAGATTCGGAAGATATTCAGCCAGGTCAAGGATACGCCACGCTTGAGACGATCTATGCCTGTACTGAGAGCATTTCCTGAAGTCGAATCGTGGCTTACTATCTTCAAACAACGGGTTGAAAGTGCTTTGGATGCGGAAGCCACATGGAAAGAGTTCCGTAAAGACGTGGTAGGGATGGCCCCGTACGCTGCAGCCGAGCGATACATTCGTTTCAACCCAAAGACCATGAGTCGGATACCCAAGATGGACGACAAGTCGCAGATCGATAATCTACTGGAGGAGATCAAGACCGGTCTTCGCAAACCTGGCGCGCAGAAAAAGATCAAGAACGTTGCGCAACGACTCGTAGCTAGTTCATTTTACTTCGAGAGATCTTGCCCTTCCAGGCCCACCGACGACCATATCATTGTGCAGGGTGAGTTTGTTCTATCTATCAAAATGACTGACTAATGATTGAAAGGCAACATCCAATGCAGATTCGCTGCAGGTTCCAATAATCTTCGGGACTTGGGTGACTACATACGCAAGCACCAATTGCCTCACTTCCAGCCGTTCTTTCGTATACAAGAAGCCATGCACGTCGAAGGGGCTCAATCTATACCAGTCACAAGGCATACCATTCGTGACATGACAGAGAGAGGTTTGTTTAGACTGGACTCGATCGTCATACCAGTTGCTTCGGAGAGTGCAGCCGTGTCGATTGATCTGCATCTGACTGACCACCGCACCACGCGATACGGGCAGTCTGGTTTTCCGATCAGCGGATTTCCCCGACTTCTCGCAGATGGCGAACCCCTCAAGAGAACCAGTGAGTAACCATCTGGCTTAATATCCTTCGTGTCATCGCACATATAAATAATGATTACAGCCTCCCATGGAGCTTCGCCAAAGCCTGAACGTCCGAAAATCTTCAACAAGAGACAGTCTCTTCGGGAAAAACGGCATGGCGCGCGTGTCAGTGTCATGATGGATCGACCAGCAAGCGACAGCAACATCTCTTATGCAAGCCGCAATGAACACGCTGAATATCCTGAGATGCCAGGTGACGTACCCGACTGGATTCAGCGTCGCAGCGAAGCAAACCGCGGCCCACCTAGACCCATGCAAGACTTCCTGCATCAAGATCAGCATCGAAACCTTCCGCCAACTTTTGTCGAGGACGTAAATTTATACGAGCTCGATGCTGAACCACTTCTCACACCAGGCGCCCACGACAATGCTATACCACGAACAGTTTCACCGGGCGAATGGAGAGAGGACTATGGTGAGCAGGTTGCACGGAGCGATGACGATGACGACCTTGCAAAAGCGATAGAGCTCAGTCAGCAAGAAGCATTTTCGGGACCGAGGAGGACTAGTACAGGAGGGTTTGATGAAGATCAAATTGCCGAAGCACTGAACAGATCTTTGCACGTTTCGGGGAGGCAGTAATGGTGAAGAGTACCGTCCATCCAACGAGGCCAAAAATTAGAATAATTTCGTAGTAGAAAATTGTCGTTCCTGATTCGCTTCTGCTTGTCCTCTGCGCATCATATTCCATGTTGCTTCTCCCTTTGGATCCCGCTGTTCCATCCCGTCCTGCTGTCCAAACCCATGTATCATAACTGCTACCTCTCATCAAGCAGGCTTCTTTACGTCCACCTTATCAAACTGCGTCGACGAAAACAAAACCCGTGTAGAAGTCTTATGCCTCAATCCATTACCATCACCCCCTCTCTCACTCTGTTCAGCTTTGCTCCTCCTCCCCTTCTTCCCCGTCTGATTCCTTTTATCCAACGGCGAATGACACACAATCTGACTCGTCGGTCGATGAAGCGCAGCTTCGGAGTTCGAATGGGTCGAGGAATTATATCGCGGTTTTGGTAGTTGCATCGAAATGAGATTCTCGTCCGATTGAGTTTGTTTTGATGGTCGGTTTGGCTGTGTAGAGGGCTTTGAGGGTTTAAGATTGGACGTCCATTTCTTTAATGTCGTGCTGAAGAGCATTTTGTGCGTTCTTTTGACGCGTCCGTCGTCGCGTATCGTAGGATTCGGGCGCGTCTCTCGCGCCCACGTTGTTGGAAGGTCTAGCGAAGGTACGGTGCAGAGGAGGAAGCAGCGATTCGAGCGAAACGATCGAAAAGGACATTGAGCGACATCATATCATAACATATGCACCGATATAACGGTGATTTTCGCCGTGACTACGAATGCGTTGCTTCCCTAGCTAAAAGCGGCAATCTCCTTACGTGACGTGACGTGTGACGGGCGATGGATGCAAACCGCGCCGCATAAGAGTCGTTCTTGCATACCCGGAAGCTCTTCGGCAAATTCCACGAGGCCATGGCCAGGTTCCTGGAACTCGCTGTAAACTCTATCTCTCGTACAAGGAACTTCCCATCGCATGTTACAGGACTTGGGGTGAGAAGAGGTAGAGTTTGGTGCTGCCCGTTAGTTCTACGGACCAATCCACATGTTCGCAGCGGGATTGCGGCACAATAGCGGAACAACGCCCGTCGGCCCCGACCGTACCTTCTCAAGTTGGTTGTGCAATTTCATGAGTGGTTCCTTCGAGTTTGTGCTCAAAGCATGTGGCTTGCAGGCTGTGGCATGAATCTTGGGGGGATGCGGCACGGCTGCGTGCGGACAGGGGTGCGTCGGTACCCGACGTAATGCACAAGAAGGAGCGAAATTGCATCCGAGAGGGTGCTGCGTGCCTAGACTACAGGGTAATCTATCTTGTATGTAGTCAGCATGATGATGGAACGCGCTACAGACAGAGGCTGAGTAAGCTCTATGTGGAGGGCGTTTAGAGGCTGGCTGAGTGATACGACGACATTGTTGTTCCCCAAGGGCCGCACCGCAATAATCTGTGAACTAAGGCCGAGCCAAGCTCAGACGCAATGGCGTGTTATCGACGCGTACTAGCTACTATGGGAACACTACGAAGTCGATAGTTTCGCACACGCATACAGATAGGCCGATCTCCCAATGGTACGTATCGCAAACTCTCCGTATGCACATCTGAAACATTGGCTAAAGATCTGAACGGCGTCTTCCATCAATTATGGCACTGGGCTTATCGTACAGGCTCCACCACCGCAATATCTGGGGATGTTCGTGAAACCAAGAGCGCTTCTTAGCTGATCAATCGCATCGTGACCTCGACCGTAGCAAATGTGCCTGCCGAGACTGGCATAGCCCTGAGCAAAGTCGGTCCAATACCCCTCCAAAAGCCACCCAAGCCCTCGCCCTTGTACGTCTTCGCGAAGCAATCCCTCATACTCTTGTACTTCTGATCCTTGCCAAACGCATCACTCTGCATCTTGCTCTTGATTACCTAAAAGGTGGGTGTACGAGGTCAGTATATGTCTCACGTGCACTTCGTACATGGGGAATTTTGAACGTACATCGAAGGGATATGAACTGATCCACAGCACTTCACCCGCAAGTCCACCATATGCCGCGACCTTTAGAGTAGAGATCTCCTTCCGGTCAATTCCGTTGCGTGCAGCGTCCGCGTTCATCATGTACTCAAAGGCGGTGAACCAACAGCCGTAAGCTTGTGCTTCGCGCATGAATGTGACAGCTGTGCCACGGTAGACACCGCCAAGTACGCCTTGATGTGCCGAGAGTTTGCGCACGCAGTCGATCGGGCCGGCATAGAGACGATTTGGACCGTGGGGTTGTGTTTGCAGTCTTATACGGATGTGCTCGATGGGGCTGGATAGAACGGTATTGGCGATACCGGCGAATGCACCGGCGGCATAGTATTGCGAGTATGACAATTGACCTTTTCCAGTCTTGGCTTCGTTACTGGCTTCGAAGGCACGTCGCGCATAGTGGAAGCCGCCGAATTGGATTGATACACAAGCTCCGATTCCGATGAGTGGTGTCAGTGTGCCCTTGTAGAAGGCGAGGGCTCCTTCGTTTTGGTAGATCTTGGTCGCTGCGTCCAGGGCACCAGAGTATTGTGATGTTGTTTGTAATCTCACCTTGACAATGTCTGTCGAAGTGCGAAGTCAGCATATGTCTCACACGCAGTTCGTAGAGATTTTACCAAAAGGCTGTCCTATTAAGACTTGCGCAACTCCTCCCACTGCACCTGCGAAGAGGTCTTTGAGTGTTCGAGAAAGACCATCCTGAACTGGAAGCTCTTCCTCAATATGAGGTTTCGACATGTTGCTCCTGCTCTTTCTGTGTTGCCGATATCTCTTCTTGCTCGCTGCTCTCTTATCTCCGTCAACACGGACCCTTTAGAGGGGTAGTTACGACGTCACCGGCCTCGAACGCACTGTTTGCGCTCCTTGCCTAAGTGTCGACAGGTGCAGGATGTCCCTGTAGCTTTTTGTTGGTATTAACAGTTTGATGCTATTGCGAGGGTTTTCAAAGTTGTCCAAGGGCTTTACAGGCCAATGGCGTGCTCGTGCACAGACGCGCTAGCGATGCCTTGGATAGCCGACGGGGTGGTTAGCCTCGAAGCGGTCATCGTTCGCACTACATCCTATAGGTACAGATCGCGATTACTGCTGACTGATACATATTATTGAGCCTTCTGATATAATCCGCGAAGCGTACCACGGAAAGCGTCCAGTCCATGTGCAACGTGCGCCAGCTAGTATGTGTTCTCATTCAAAACTTGATGTGAATTCTTTACAGTATGAAATCGACAGTGATGCAAGGAAATATACATACGCAAGATGTGAGACGCTGTAGAAAATGAACAAGAATCAGACAGCCGCCCGGTATATCCCGTGGTTTCCCCATTCCCGCTAATCGACATATCCATGCCATGCGTATACAAATGCTTTGCGCCCGTAACATCGACGCATATATACAAGTCAAGGAAATAAACGGGAAAGCAAAGTGTGTATAAAACAAGCAGGTCGTGCTTCATGTCCCATACCACATCTCAGCGAGCCCGTGAACGAACGACAAGTCCCCAGGCTATTGGTAAACGCCTGAGACTTATGTGCAATGCGTAGCAACATAGGAATGCAACTACCAGCACTTCAGCCTCCTCCACCAACTCTTTTTGGGCTCGTCCTCATCATCCTTCTCATTATCCAGATACGCCGCCGAAGAGTTCGGGTCGCGGTTCGGATGCGATTGAAGGGGAAGAGCGGCAGTTCGGTTCGCAGGGCCGTCTCCGGCAGTGAGTCTCCGCGCTTCTACTACACGACGTACGAGCACTGTCCGTCTTGTTAGCCATGTCTCTGCCGTCATCTGCGCTGCAGGACTTACGCGCAAAAGTCTCCTCAATGTTGACCATCTCCCTCGCACTCGTCTCCATAAATCCGCACTTTCTCCGCCTCGCCCACTCGAGACCCGTCTTCGCTTCTACCTGTCTTTGGCCCTGTAAATCGCACTTGTTGCCTACCACGCACTTGATGGGCGGTATCTTGCCATTGTCTAACCGGTTCTCGGTCTCCATTTCTATCATCTCCATGAAGTAGTCGAGCGCGTCGAGCGAGTTGGCAGATGTTATATCGTAGACGAGGAGGAAAGCGTCGGATTGCAGGTTCGAGGCGGCCCAAAGACCGCGGTATTCTTCTTGGCCGGCCGTGTCCGTGAGCATGAGGTAGTAGGGGACGCCATCGACGGTTCGGGTTACGGAGTATGAGTCTTCTGGAGGGGTGTTAGTCGTGTGAGGCTACAAGTTGCGACGAATTCGCGCGCAGGGGGATGTACCTATTGTTGGGTCGTACTCAGATGTCCATTGGCTTCTCACAAGCCGCAGCGTAATCGAACTCTTTCCGCATCCACCATCACCGCACACTGTAATCGTGATTCTGTTGTTCTCGTCCATTGTGTCCTTCTCTTGCGCTTGATTCTGTGTCTGCGATTGTAATTCTTGTGACGTGTATGCGCTCCCGTTCAGGCGGTATTCGTGTCGTAACCGGATCCGTTTCGAGTCGTCAACTCTCGTGGGTGCGCTTGTCGCAAACCGTCCTTCCGAACCAAGCACTCCCTTTTCTCGTGTCCCGTGGTTCCACGCAAACGCAATCCTTCCAAGTTCCCGCGCAGATATGTATGGTCCTGCAATTCGCGTTCGGAATGTGTCGTCGGAATAGGTCACGACTTTGGCTGAGGTCCGACCAAAAGTAAACCCACGACAATAGAAACAAGAAAAGATATCGCGCGTAGGCTTCGCAAGTTCGCGTTGTCGTCGCAGCGGTCCAGACAAACGAAGAACCAGGAAATGCAAAAGTACAAAAAGGCAGAGGCAGCGCAACGCAGGCGTTCCTCTCGTATGTGTAATACCGGAAAGCCAACCAACAAATTAATGAAGCGAACAGTGCCCCCAGCAGAACGGAACGGTCCCTAGTACTATCCAAAGCCGCACAGCGTTAGAAATGAATCAGGCATGAAGCTCAACCCAGCCTAGGACTAAGTGAAAAAAAGAAATGAAGGACGAAGATCGCTTCCAAAAGCCCAGCCCGTTACCTCTTTTGCGTGCAAGTATCCGGGGACCATGTCCCCCATCGGCTCTGCTGCGCGCGCAAAGTTTCGGTGCGAAAGAGGGCCACAGACCCTTGTACCCTTGCATCGCGCGCGCCGCTTCGACATGTCATGGCACGCACCAAGGAAAACCCACAGACATCAGAGCCCAGATAAGGCGCTGCCAGAACGCTCAGGCCGCAGGGGATCGAAGGATCCAAAGGATCAAGCCCGGAAGACGGCCCCACTTGTTTGATTGGGAGGCTGGAGCGGGCTTGGGGAGGGGGGAACGAGGGAGGCAGTCTGCCAGAGCCCAAGCCATGTGGGTAACAACGTGCGATGGACCAAAGTTTATTTGCCATGTTGAACTTTGAGCTTTCGTCATTGGAGCTCATGGCCACGGGTCTCGATGCCGAGGCACACGAAGTTTTTCCCACCTCCAACTACCGTTCTCGCAATACCCAACCCAACGACTCCTCACAAGATCTAGGTTAGGCTCAGAGAATACCCAACGAGTTACTCGGCATGGCGTTTTCCCTAGGCCCCCCAAATCTAGATGCTATCCATGGAACGTAATCTGCCATGTGTCCAAGAGACTTGGAACTAAACCCAGTGATGCCGGGGCTAACTGTCCGGGAACCTGCATGCTGCCCAGCTTCCTTCCTGCCAAACCCCCTGTTCGGTTGTGTTCCTCTTCCTGCTTCCGTGGAACACATGCAGCGTTCTAGCGCCACATCACGCGCATTCTAGGGCTACATCCAACACACCCTCCCCGACCTTGTCAATGTCCCACGCGCCTGTCGCAGGTTGTCAGACTCCAAGCGAGGACAAGGCCGACATCAGCGTCGTAGGTTGGACTTGGGATGCCCGTTGTCTTATCGTACTTCGTGTTCGCTGCCAACCTTGGAAGCCGCGCAGTTGCGGTGCGCCTCGTACAAACAAACAGCCGTGCAAACATGCTAGGATTACGCACCAGATATGGGCAAAAGGGCCTTGTTATCCTAGTTAGCGGTTGATGTTATGATCTGACTTGACGTATGACAAGTGAGGCCACTCGACGCCACAATTGCGGCGGGGATGGATGGTCGCGTCGCGTCACTTCGCTTCGACTCGAATCGTAGGCGAGCGAGCAAACAAGCGAATCGACGAGATGTGCGGGTGGGGGAGAGATGCGAAAGAATTAATGGGTCAAGGGCAACGTTGGGGTTCGCCATGACGCTTCAGCCAGGTCATGCAATCGCGTTCCACTATTCATTTTGACATGATCTGATCTGATGCGACATATATGATTGATTGATTGATGAGTGATACCGTCCGTACGCGTGCGCCCCACGCGATCCTGATAAGCCATCCCGTACCGTTGCCAAACGTCGTTGATATATACAACAGAATAAGAAGACACCTGATAAAGTGTGCCCAAGACATGTACATGCATATTGCGCCTCATCTCTCAGCCTCCAATTTGTGAAACCCGCAGTCGAATAGCTCGACCACACGCCAAACCTTCCCCACGTTGTTGACCCAAGTCGTAAAACATCAAACGGATATAGAAAGAAAAAGGATGTGAGTCTAAAAACTCCCCCATGAGAAGCTCGCTTCGAGCAAGCGAATGTGAAGTTCGTTAAAGTGAATATAAGTAATGGGGTATCGTTTGACCAAAGCGGAGAATGACACGAAACAGGAGAGAGAAACCGCGAAGAAGAAGTAAGAAGACGACGTTCAGATCCGTCGTGCTTATGATTCCGGCTCCGTCACTTCATCGATCGACGGTGGGGGAATGAAGCCCTGTGAAGCAGCAACTTCTATACGTGGCGCCTTTGCAGCATGCGACTCGCTGATGCTACCTTGTTGCGGCGAACGTTTGGTGGAAGTGGCCATTGGCGAAGGGATAGTAGACTGTTGTCCGCTCTCCGTCTTCGCATGAGGAAGAATAGTCTGATGACTTGAGTGGCTTGTAGGAAAGTGGCGTGGCGAAGCACTCTTTTTGCTCTTGTCACTGGCCGCAGACGACGTTCTAGGTGACACTCGTCCTTGCTGTGAGTGTCCCTGTTAGTTTGATTATGTGGACTAGATGTGAGAAGATTAACTTACCTGTTTAGCCCACCGTAGTCCGCACGAGTTGCACAAGTCGCGGTTGCCCGATGGACCTCGCCGCCACTCGGGTGTTGTTCTTGTATGGCAATTCGCACAGTCCTTCTGCATCTGACCTGCGCCCTTTCTGCGCTTCCTCTTCTTTTTGGCTGCCAATAAGCTCTGAACCTCTTCGGCCAGGTATCGGTTTCGCTTTTCCATTTGTCGGAGCTCGTATTGCCAGCTTGTGCTTCGTGTCGTCTTCAGTTCGTCGAACACGTTATCGTCTGAAGCAAGACTTTGATCCTGGTGTCCAAGCTGTAGACCGTTGTGGCCAGCAAACGTCGCAGGCGATTCCTCGGTAGTGATGAAAAGAGGATTTGTGTTTGATGTGTTTGGCGTATTTGACCCGGTGTGGCCGGTCAGAGATCCTGCGGCGGGCGATGCTGCTCCTGACATCTGCGTGTGTACAGAGTTATGAGAGTCGCGTTCATGCTTGGTGTTCGTGTACATCGATGGGCGGCCAGCATTGCTATTTCGCGAATACTTGAGAAGTCGCGTTTGACCAACGACAAAGGTGGGTTTCTGGCCCTCGATTGCATCTCCGGGGTAGATGGTTGTGAAAGCCTGGAGGACCTGGCCACGCTTGTTGATCATTTCGTGCTTGACTTCACCTTTCCTGCCACCTCTGGCAAGCTCAAGGATACGGCCGAACTGGATCTTAGACTCTTGACGCATAAGAGATTGTATGCTTGTGCCCACAAGCTCCTCGGGTTGCTTGTCGAGTAACTGACGTACGTTGGACGAGACGTACAAGAACATGCCTGACGTAGACATTTTGGTCCAAAGTTCGTTGTCACCAACGCCTCCGGATTCGCGTACGATAGCCTTGCTGAGAGTATAGACTGGGCGCTCGCGACCCACAAGGATGATGCATTTCCGGCCCTTGCCTTGCTCCGTGTGAAGGGAACCGTGACCTTCGAACCACATGTAGCCGCTCTTCTTTCGCCGTATCCTAAACACGACATTGACCGATGCGCCGTTTGTGGTTTCCTTTAACTCTCGTGTAACCGGGACGATGTCGCTAGGATGGCAGACAGAAGACAGGGCAGTCCCAACAAGCTCACTTGGGTCGTACTCTAGTATCCTGTTGCTGGCCGGTGACAGGTATAAGAAGAGTCCCTTCAGCGACAAGACATGGACGACGTCGTCGCTGTTCTCAAGCAGGACCTTGTCCCAGATACGTCTGGTCATCTCCGAGTCACCGCTACCGCTGTATGCAGCGAGCACGTTGGACACCTCATCCTTGGAAATGGTCTGACCTTGCTCGGCTGCTTGTGGCTTGTGGTGGTCGCTGAAAACGTAACTGGGCATCGACATTCCGCGTTGGTAGTTGACTCGGTACGAACCGTCTATAACATGATCAGCTCACACACGAGGTGTTGTGTTAGATGCGGAAGCCCACCTGAGTTCTTGTTCGTCATGGCTCCAGGCTGCTCGACTAGATCGACCTGGAAACCAACGAAGAATTTCATCTTGCCGCCAGGCTCCCAAGCGATAGGGATCATAGTGAGCAGGTTCATGAACGGCTGGCCGCCTCTTCGGTAATTGATCAAGCTGATCTGCGCCTCGGCACGACTCTCGATCATGTTCTTGAGATAGTATACCGAATCATCGTCAACGTAGTTGCGTTTGATACCCGATTCTACCTTGCCGTCAGGTGCTTGTAAGAAACGGCAATTCCGCCCGAGGATCATATGTCTCGTGTAGCCGGTCAGTCGTTCGAAGTTCTCAGAGCAGTAAACAATGGGAATGTCGTCCAGCTCGGCATCGCAAACGACGAAAGCGCACGAAAGATCAACGGAGCCGATGTCGATCTGGGGTTCAGGTCGAGTAGCTACGCGCATCTATTGGCATATCAGTATGTCAATCTCAGTACACTGTGTCGATACGTACCAGCACTCCGAGCATGTCAAATCCGGTCGACGAGTACGCATTTTTGAACTGCGTCTTCATGTGTGGGTTGTTCGCTTTGGTTGACGGGAACCCGCCGGTGGGCGCCTGCCACGGAATCTTGAAGTCTGCGAGTTGCTTCTTCATGACCTCTTTAGACAGATCTTGAGCAGGGTCCTGTGCGACGGGTTGTTGGTTCTGCAGTGAGGCCAGGGTCATGCGCGTTGGAACACTGTTGGAAGAATGGTGTTCACTTTGGGGCCGGGAGTGGGACCGCATGCTGGACTGGTCCTGGCTGGTCGACCGACTGAGGAAGCTGGATCTGCCGGACTTGACTTCTGGTGTATTGTTTAGGGACGGACGTTTGAACTGGTCTTGGGTCTGCCCTGACGGAGTATTGTCTCCTTGGGGAGCAGCGGGCACTGGTCCTACAAAGTCCTGCTGGATGGGCGAGTCCAGCATGGGTGTGTTAAATTGGCTGCCTGGGAACATGTTCATGTCCATGGGTGTCATGGCCATCGAATCGTCCATGTCCAAGGGCATGTTCATGCCGTTCTGATACGATCCCATGTCCAGGTCGAGGGAGTTCTTCTGGTGCATGGGCGAGGCGTAGGCAGAGCCAGGACCGCCCATGGTCGGAAAGGGAGAAGCCTGGCCTTGGAACTGTGTGTTGATGTTGAGGTCGGCAGCCGGCATTTGGTCACTCTGGATGTCGGCCGTGGTGCGCGGAAAAGCGGTGTTGTTGCGCATCATGTTGTCCATGGCAGCGGTTGACATGTCGAATTGGAAATCGTCCATGTCTCCGCCATTGGGATCACCGAAATTCATCATGCTCAGCCTGCGCGTGTCGGGGCTGCCCAGGTTCATTTGTTGTTGTTGCTGCTGCTGTTGTTGGGGCCCTCTAGCGTATACGGGCATACTCCGGCGGCGGTTGTCCTTGTCGTTCTGCGCGACGATGGAGTCCAGCGACTGGCCCTCGACCATGTTGAAGCCGTTCATGCCGTCCCCATTCATATTCATCATCATGTTCCCATTGGCGGCCGGGTTGAAGGGCCGGGTGGGATATGGGTAGCCATTCATGGTGGCGGCTAGGGCGCTACGGGCTCAAGAGCGGCAGGAGCAGGCAGTGTCGTCCGGCACGGGGTTGTAGGCATCCACGGGTGTGGGCGGCGCCCGAGGGCACGGCGGTGGTGCGCTATCGCTTGTCTCGCTGGTGATGTTGGAGTCGCGGCGGCGGGGCGTGCAGCGTCTGACAAGCGACATCCGGGGGCGGCGACAGATGGGGGGGGGGCTCCTCGGCCTGGGTGCAGTGCAGCAGGACGGGGAGTCGTCTGGGGCAGATTGGGCGGGTGAAGTTGGGATGCGAAGAGCGAGCATGTGTAGCGTCAGTGGAATGCGCTAGGTGCCAAGCCAAAAGGCCGCGTGCGGGATAGCTGCAGAAGATGACGGAAGCATGTCAGTGGCTTCACGCGAGCAATTATCGGGGGCAGCCCGGGCACAAGCACTCTCTGAGCACAGGCGGAGCGGCATGGGATAAGCAAGAGGCGAGCGACTCTGCAAGCAGGGACCAGCTATGGTATTTTGCACTTTGCCATGCTCTGCCCTACCGGTGGGACCGATGCACGCAGCCCCCCTCGCTGCGGTCCTGACTGGCACACATGATCTGACAATGACGGCAATCGCCTGAGGCTCGTTATCGGTCTGACACTGGAGGATGGGCTGGCCTGCAGGGTGGCCCAATTGGGCTAGCTTGGCGGGTGCTTGGCATGCCCCGGCTCGAGAGTTTTTGGAGCGACAGCGCCGACTGCACGCGACGGCAAAATGATACTGAGGAGCATCGCAGCGCGCAGTGGTAGGAGACGTCAATTGGACATGACTGCACATACTAACACCATCGATAGCCCCCCGGGCGCTCGCACGACACTCCCGCCAGCCGCTCCGCCCGCTGCAGCGATTTCTCTCCACCGAGACCGAGTCGATCGAGGCCGCTACCGACAACAGTCTCAAGCAGATCCAGTCGATAGAGGCCCAGCTCAACACCCACCTCCAGCAGCCCATCCCCTCCGTCGACCCCGAGACCCATGGCACCTCCGAGTCCGCCTCCGACGATGTCGCTGAGCAGTACTACATGTACAAGCAGCAGTGTACGACCGCCGCCCCATCCTGACTCCACCCTGCTGACGATCCGTAGCCAAGCAGATGGGACATCTAGGAACTCAGATCGAGCCGCACTACCAACCGCACTCCCTCCTGAACCACCCCCCATCGCCCGCCGACGTGACCCTCGAACTGCTCCTCGCCTCCGAGGCCCACCAAGGCCATGTCACTTCCCTATGGAACCCCGCAAACGCACGCTACATCCACGGCATACGGCAAGGCGTCCACATCATCTCGCTCGAAGTCACTGCAGCCCACTTGCGGCGGTCCGCCAAGGTCGTGCAGGAAGTTGCGCGGCGGGGAGGCATGATCTTGTTCGTGGGCACGCGCGACGGGCAGGATAGGGCAGTAGCACGCGCTGCGGAGCTAGCCAAAGGATACCACCTGTTCGAGCGCTGGATCCCAGGAAGCATCACCAACGGCCAGCAAATTCTCGGCAGGTGCAAGACCAAGGTCGTGAATGAGTTCGACGAGGAGGTCTCCGGCTTCGAAGAGCAGCTCTTCGACCGATCTGTCCTCCGGCCCGACCTGGTCGTCTGCATGAATCCCCTCGAGAACTACGTCCTGCTGCACGAGTGTGCGCTGAACAACATTCCCACCATCGGCGTCATTGACACCAACGCGGACCCCACCTGGGTCACGTACCCCATCCCTGCCAACGACGACAGGTAAAACATCTCCCACCAGCGGCTACTGTTTCAGGCTAACACATCACAGTCTACGCTGCATACAAGTCATCGCTGGCGTCCTAGGTCGTGCCGGAGAAACCGGCCAAAAGCAACGGCTTGCGGCCGCCGCTGAAGGCCGCATCACCTACCGCCCAGCACAAGGCTTGACATTAACCAGCACAGATGTGGATGCCAAGAGTGCAGAAAGCGTGAGACCCGAACGCAGATCTGTAGGACGGATGGGTACGAATGTCCCCCTGGAGCAAGTCGACGAAGCAGCGGGACCGATAGACACGGGCTTAGAGGATGCCAATGAAATGGCCACCAAACTGGACGAAGTGGCCAACCACGAGAGCCATCGGACGAGAGAAGGCAGAGATCTTAAAGTCACCTCATAGAGCGTTTGTATAGCATGTAAATCTACAGTACGAATATTATGCATAGGATCAGGTCTCACCTTCACGCGCACGCTTACTCATGCCGTTATTTGTGTTCAGTTGTCACGCCTCAGCACCACACCAAACTTCAAACTATCGAATTTGAGCGCCGTATGTCACGACACCAACTTCACAAGCGCGCGTCCAATCTTAAACACCAACAGTAACGTTTCCATCCCAAGCGAAACATCAACACCATAACATTCCCAGTTCTAAGACGTAGATCTACGAAGATCTCCACGGCACCTATCCGGAACGAGCCTGAGCTCTTTCCCCCGGAGCCACCCACAGCAGCGCAGCGCACCCAGCCAAAAAACACCCCGACGTTGCGATAAAGCCTGACCATTCACATTCGCAACCGTGCTAGCAGCACCACGGAACCTGCAACCGCCCGACTAACCTCTAGCTCAGGCCCAGGAGCCGAGCCGGAAAAAGGAGGAAAAGCACATACTGAGAGTCCCGAGGGCAAACTCGCATTTGTTCCGATGCAGGAACATGACGTCAATTGTGCTAGTGCATCGAGGCGCGATCGGGAATCTGGGCCGCATCGAATGAACAGTGCTCACGCAGGGAAGCCCCGTAGTATGGGGCGCGCATTTCACCGGAGAGGATTGAAACGTAGTGAGGCGGTAAAGGAAGAAGGGGGAAGGCAAAAGCAGGCGGTGTGGGGGTTTTAGTACTTGGTTGGTACAAGGCGAATGAGAGATATTATTAGGTAGGGGTTGAATGCAACTTTACGGGACGAAGGCTATCAAAGGGGATGGGATGTGGAGTTCTATACAGAGAGTTTGTTTTCAAGACTACACATTAGAGCGATGGTGTGCTAAACCGGCCGTTTACCAAACCAACATAGTGAATGCCACGAAGGGAAAAGGGATTATGGTTGTTTCGAAGTGTCGGCCAAGGTGTTGAAGGTGCTGTACCGCCGGAGTAGCTGGGCTTTCGAGTCCTAGTCGAGATCGTCGGCGCTGGTTTCTGTTGCTTTTGGCGCTGCGGCTGCGGCGGGCGCTGGGGTTTGGCCGTAGAAGTCTAGTTTGCCCTCGCTCTGGAGGACACCCATACGGTCGTACAGTGAGCGAGCTCGAACATACGGGTCCAGTTTCCAGTAGTTCTGCCTCAGCTGTTCGGCAATGCTATCCCTTTCTTTCCTCTTCTCGTCCGCTGGCGCACCCTCACCGGCGTGTACCCACTCCAGCACGGAAGTCTCGTAGTTGTCGACGATCTGTTGCCTCTCGCTTTGCAGCTCCTGCTTTGGCTTCTCTTCGGCCATCTTGTCGTTCTCACCAGGCACGGGCTCTGGGAACTTGTACTCCCACTTCTCCTCTCCACCTAGTTCAGTTGGAATCTGCGACTTTGGGATGTAGTTGCTGAGATCGTCGATCGTCTTTGCAAAGTGCACCTTGCCGGCGACGACGGGGTCCAGCCAGCCTTTGACGATACTCCACACGGCGTTGAAGACCCAGGGCGCTCGGTAGACGAGAACAGTGCCAAGCGATTCGGGGTAGTTGGCCTCAAAGCACTTGATCATGAACTTTACCGGCGTGTAGTCCATGTTAGCCATAGAGAAGTCCGTCATATCGAAGACAATAGTCTGTATTCGGTTAATCATTGCACAGAATCCGGAGAAGAGAATAGACTTACGGCTGTGTCAATCGGAGGCCTCAACAGCATGCGTGCGGTCTCAATAGTGTAGACGGTGAATCTTTCCAGACTTTCCTCCGTCTGCTCGCCGGCTTTGTGTAACCTCGCGCGAACAAAACACATCGGCCTTCCTTCAATGTCCAATCCGTGTAGATAGCTCTTGCCCATGCGCAGCTGTGTCAGGAAGTCCTCCGCGTTCTTCTTTGTCTTAGCATCGTCGCTGGTAGTTTGCGCAGCGGCGAGCTCTCCATTCTTCATGATGTCGTCGTCGACATGCATCTCGTTCAATCTCCACTGCATGGTAGAGATCATCATGACTAGCGCCTTCTCCACGTCCCATTTCCGTGCGCGGAGGAATCGGAGAAGGAGAGCATCGGGGTGGTCGTGCTTGACCATCATCCAGAAGGTCCTTCGCAGCTCCTCCGGGGGAATATTGGCGATCGCTGCCTTGAACTCTGCGGTCTGGCCGAACTTGTCGTCATCGGCGGATATTGACAGCCTGCTAATGTCTGACGGGGTCGAGCCTGTCGAAGCAGTCGACGCCTTGTCGTCTGCGCCCTTCTCGCCCTTATTCCTCTTGAACACGTTCAATCGGCTCTTCTTCTTGTCCTTCTTGCCGTCCGCTGCCGCCTCACTTGTGGTCGGAGATGCGACCTCATCGACCGTGCTCGCAGCTTCCGACCCCGCTTCCACACCGAAAACCTTCATAACGATCCCCCATAGCTCACGCAGCTTCTTGTCTTCTTCAGGTGTGAGGGTTCCCGGTCGCCCGGCGGGGGTGTTTGGTGCCATGACGAGGTACGAGTCTGTGAGGTCTGCGGTGTTGAAATGAGTCGGGGTGGATTTCCTGGCCGTCTTGGGCTCTGAAGAGCTCTGTACGAAGGGAACGAGTAGCACGCCGCCAATTGCAATGCCAGCGACTATTCCTACAGTCCACAGGTTGAGTCCGCTTGTCTTGTGAGGTGCCGGTGCCGTGCTTCGCCGACTGTGATGTAGTAGGTTTGCGCGTGTGACCGGATTCGTAGAGCTATAGGGGGCAGGTGGGGCGCCGCGATACTTTGGGTTATACACGGATAGTTGACGCTTGGGTGTAGAGGTGTGCAGAAGTCGTCGTAGGGGCTGTGCGCGAGGCAACATGGAAAAGTGTCAGGTCGCTGAGCTGAGCCTCGTTATGGCAACTGCTCGCGTCTGCTTAGTGTGACGTCGGCAGAGCTTTCCGGATACGTCGGACGAATATGTAGCCGCGATCTACGTACAGAATGCAGCAGCGGGACGCCTGAGAGCAAGCTGCGGGCAAGTGCGTCTTGTGATAGTTTGCTGAACACAAAGTATCCGGAGACGTACAGAGAGGCGTACTTTTGGAAGCAAGAACAATGGCATCATCGACCAATTGGTCTTAGCGCGATTGCCTTGCGTGTGGGGTACTGTTTACTTCGTATCAAGCTTCCGAACTAGGACCGCGTTTCAAGATACCCAGAGGCGTCACAGTACCAGACTGCAATTGCGCAACTGTGCTACCAGACTTACAAGGAAACACATCTACCACTGTGCAAACATGGCGTCCACAACACCCACAACAACGCCCTCGTACCGGCGCACACGCAGCAAATCACCACGCTCACGTCCGACCACGCCCCTCCGCCCGTCTTCCCGCTCCTCATTACGCGACTCATCCCAACGCGGTCGCGCTGCTTCGGCATCTGGCAACGCGCTTGAAGGCTTACAGGATGGATTCGCGGAGTTGAGCGACGCCATGGCAGACCTTGAGCAAAACTTCTTGCAATTGCAACTTATGCACGAGAGCCTGGCACGTTTCTCAGAGAGTTTTGCGGGGTTTCTGTATGGAATGAACATGAATGCTTTTTGCGTAGACTTCCCGGAGGTGAGTGATGGGAGACTGAAGAGAAGATACAGAGGAGAGAGAACGCGGGATGGTACTGACTCGTCACTAGGCTCCTGTTCCAGAATCCTTCAAGCGCCCACAGAACCAACCTGATCAGGGTGCCACAAACCTGAATCGCTCTCAAGGCCCAGAAGATATGGAAGCCACGTTCTTGACGACCGACACTTCATTCGTCGACAACCCGCCGAGTAGCAAAATCCACTCCAAATTCCAGAACCCACAAACGCCAGCACCGGCTACGAGAACAAGTGGCGTACCTAGAGGAAGAGGGGGAATACCACGAGCAGGCGGACGGGGCGGTATACCTACACGCGGCGGTGCACCTAGAGGAACCAGGGGTGGTACAGGCATAGCAAGAGGTGTCGCTGGACGGGGTCGCGGAGCACGTTGAGAACGTCGGACAAATCTATGGTGATGTCTCGATGAGTACAATTTTCATGGCAATAAGGAAGCTTGTTCTATGGATGTTTCATTATCCCACATCGTGTAGGGGTTGCGTGGCTACATTGCTAACTGTGGTGCAACTTAGTATTAACTTCCGGAGTCGCCATCCGTCTATTACTACCATGATCCCTTCGTCCTAAGAAGCTCATTAATCCAATATGACCTTCATTACCACCGGTAAAGAACAAAACAGGCATTAGGTGCAGCTATCCAGGCTGTCGTCTTCCTTAAGAAAGGGGTATACTGCGACCAAACCCATTAAATCAAAAAAATGCGTCAAAGTCGTAAAGAGGAAATGTAGGGTATCAAGTGGAAGTTCCACTTCCTAAATAAGAAAATCGTCTCCAGTCGATCGATCGAGGGTATCTCGTAAAGACGTCGTCTACGCCAATACTCCAGCAAGACCCTTTGCGTACTGGCTGCTGCTCTCCTTGCGTAGAGCCCATCCCTTGATAGCGATTACTACAGTCGTCCAAGCCATGAGCAGCGCGGTAAGGCCCATGACAACCGTGAAGATGAACATAGCGTCGAGGTCGTACGATTCCAGAGCCGCGACTGTGTCCTTGTTGCTGACCATGAAGGTGATACCACCCGATATCAGACAAAATGCGGTGATGATTTCCGTAGGCGGCCGGGATGGCAGGAACGAAGTCGGCGGCGAGATGTAGAGGGTGATGTAGGTAAGGCCGCGGGCAAGAGCAAAGGCCATGAACATGCTGCCCCATTGGGTATGGATCATAGTCGAGACCATTGAGCTCTGATGGTGAGAGCTCATCATCTTGCCGAGTAGCATGATGATGAGGGCCGGGAGCGGGTTCATCGAGAAGCGATATTGGCTAGGCTGCTGCCAGGACTCGTTTTGTAGCGAGCTTGCCTGGGAGGCAACGACTCCGCTGTGAAGAAGGTCGCGTACCTTGGTCGATTCGATGCACATTCCCAACTAAGAAGAATGTCAGCGATATTACACGGAAAA